AGGCAATATTATTATTATATAAATGAATGTATATATTTTTGATATTGAAAAATATTGTTTTCTTCAAATAATTCAAAACAGAGAAATTTTTCTAATATATTGTACTAGTAAAACAAAGTAATATAAAACGAGAAAAAGTAAAAAACAAAAACCGAGTCGATAAAAAATGAAAATATTTTATATTGCACTAAAACCACAAAATTCTTGCGAGATCAATTAATTATTCAAGCTTTAATCGCATTGCTTTTTAAATATTTCCCATATATTTTAATGTACACATATATCTTGTCGACATAAATTCTATAAAATTAATAAAAAATAAAGGCAAAAAATGCAGCGCACCTTGCGAGATCTCAACAAAACTCATAAGCTTTTTCTAGCATTGTTTTCTTTTTGCCCTTCTCTTCAATTGCTATTTATAAAAATACGTATAAATTAACATTTTATCATGCGGGTATTTTTATATAATAGTTGTTTTTTGTGTCTTTCAAACGCGTTATTTCCCAACTATGAACTGCTGCGGTTATTGTTTTCAAACATATTTAGAATTCCTTTGTCATCAAAGAACAATTTTATAAAAAAAAACATAAACTTTAAATACAATGCTCGTCACCTTTTCGCGATAAATTGTGAGATCATCAACGTTTCATGTAAATGTAAATACCCACATAACTTAGACGGCGTGGGACAACTAAATAAAAACACTGTAATTTAGTATTTATATGTGTTAAGAATGTGTTTGAGGAAGACATTCTAAAAGAGACCAGTATGATGTGTTATATCGATTCTTAATTTGAATCAAACAAATTATTTACTATCTTACAACATAATCATGTGGATCATGCAACGTGATCAGCTTTTTTGCAAAGCTATCGAAAAATATAAACTTTAATATAATGTTGCACGTAAATATTCAAGCGATTAAAGATAATTCGAAGATAATTTGAAAGAATATTAGCTCCTTACTATTTTTCGTTCCCTGTTACCATAGGAATACTTTATCATAAATTTTTCCTACCAAAAGTCCAAAAATGACAAATTGATAATAATTCTCGTTCCGTTACTATGTACATGTAATTCTCCACCGGTTTATTATATTCCGTTTACATACACATAGTTGCTTTAGAGGGTAGATACCTATTTTATTGTCGCCCAGTGTTCTCTATTGTTCTAAAATACAGCATCTTACAAGTCTATGTACCCAACGCAACACCTTATAGACGTAATTAGTACTTGAATACTTCTCATTCATATGTATGAAGTAACAATTAGATGAACTTGCGCAATTGGCTATAAGCAATTATTAACGCATTGCTAGTCTTTATGAGAATGTGTTAACAATAGTTGCAATTTGTAATTACTAAACAAAAAAAAAAACAAACACAAACGTTAACTGAAGCTGTAATACCATTCGCAAATAAAACAGTTTCCGTACCAGAACTTGTTTTTTATTGTTCAGTTTGTATGGCAGCTATATGCTATAGTGATCCGATCTGAACCATTTCTTCGGAGATTGTACCGCTACCTTAGACAATAATTCATGTCGAATTTAATAAAAATATCTCATCAAATAAAAAAGTTTTCCATATAAGAACTTGTTTTTTATTGTTCTGTTTGTATGGCAGCTATATGCTATAGTGTTCCGATTTGAACCATTTTCTCGTAAATTGCACCGCTGAATTAGACAAAAATCCATGTCGAATTTCGTGCAGAAATCCCGTCAAATGAAATGGTTTTTCATACAAGAACTTCTTTTTCATTGTTCAGTTTGTATGACAGCTATATGCTATAGTGGACCAATCTGAATAATTTTCTCGTAAATTGCCCTGCTGGTTTAGACAAGAATTCATGTCGAATATCGTGAAGATATTCCGTCAAATAAAAAAGTTTTTCATACAAGTACTTGTTTTTCATTGTTCAGTTTGTATGACAGCTATATGCTATAGTGGACCAATCTGAATAATTTTCTCGTAAATTGCACTGCTGCTTTAGACAAGAATTCATGTCGAATTTCGTGAAGATATCCCGTCAAATAAAAAAGTTTTTCATACAAGAACTTGTTTTTCATTGTTCAGNTTCGTGAAGATATCCCGTCAAATAAAAAAGTTTTTCATACAAGAACTTGTTTTTCATTGTTCAGTTTGTATGACAGCTATATGCTATAGTGGACCGATCTGAATAATTTTCTTGTAAATTGCACTGATGCTTTAGACAAGAATTCATGTCGAATTTCGTGACTATATCCCGTCAAATAAAAAAGTTTTTCATACAAGAACTTGTTTTTCATTGTTCAGTTTGTATGACAGCCATATGCTATAGTGGACCAATCTGTACAATTTTCTCGTAAATTGCACTGCTGCTTCCTTCTAGGTATTACATCTTAGTCGCAAACTTAATACACCCCGTTCAGGGTATAAAAACACTGCTTACAGTAAATGCATACGCAGCAAATCAAGCAGCGAATAGCGCGTCGCCTCGTGCAAATAGTCTTTGTATATTGACTTGATGCTGTCATATTATTAAAAATTTAATTTGCTATAAATACCGGTGTACCGATTCACACCGGATCGCCATAAATTTCTCATGCAAATTACAAATGTAGACACATGCCTGGTTGTGCCGTCATTGCTGCGTTCATCGATACCTTCAAATGTCATTTTGAGGTTAATATTTGAACGAGGTGAAATTTTTTGCGGAGAAAAATGCAACAAAATTAAATGACTTACAAAAACAAGAATAACAACAAACAATAATAATAACAAGTGTCAAGTTATGAGTGAGCCAAAGCGACAACACTTAAATTGGTAAATTACTTCGCTTAAGTGACAGCGACTGGCTTAGTCAAGTGTCACTTAAATAGCAACGCTGAACGCAGACAATCGCAAATTTATACGCAGAATTGTTTTGGTGATTTTTTTACTTTTTCAGTTTCGCATTTTTTGTTTTATTTTTTTTTTTTATATATGAATTTTTATACTCTCGCAACAATGTTGCTAAAGAGAGTATTATAGTTTTGTTCACATAACGGTTGTTTGTAAGTCCTAAAACTAAAAGTGTCATATCTCGGAAACTGCTACAGCTATGTCAACCAAACTCTATAGAGTCGTTTCCTTCARKMAKTTTCATATACAGCTCAAAAATGGAAGAAATCGGATAATAACCACGCCCACCTCCCATACAAAGGTTATGTTGAAAATCACTAAAAGTGTGTTAACCGACTAACGAAAAA